TAGACACCAACAGAAATAGGTCATCACCAAAGTTTGAGAAGTAAAAAAATCTCTCAGGCTCCCAAATTTCTTCTATAAAGACTTCCATGTTCCATCATTAGAGATTATTATTTTAGGATAGGAATGACTAATTAAAAATTTAAAAATTAAAACTGATTACCATCCTTAGGAAGCCAATAATCTCAACAGGTGTAAGGAATGGTGAAGATTTCAAAGGGGAGAAACACAAAAGGACAAGTCCAGATCCTGGAAAGCTACCTGAAGAGAAGAGGTCATGGTAGGATATACCCGAAAATGGCATGAAGCTCTAAACACAGGGAAAATGTAGAACCACAGTGGGGATAAGGAAACAGAGATGAGCAAGAACATTAACTTTGCTCCACAACTTAAGCTTAGTGCTGAGAATTTGCAAAAGACAGAAGTTTCATTAAATCTAAGTAGAACTACAAGAATGGATGATTCTGTGTAATTATTTACTTTTGAATAACACTCATGTATTTATTAAAATATTAATTTATAATTATACATTAATTTTCTTTAATACTTACATATTTGAGAAAACACGAGAAGGGAAAATACCCTGGGCTGTGGCAGGAGCCTGAGGTCCTATTTACCAGAAAAAGAAATTAGTTTGTGTCCTTCCCCAACAACTTTTAAAATAGTAATTAATATCCCCTAGTAGGTCTTTATTCTCTGTTGTCACAGTTTTGTTGAAAAGTCTCCAGAGACTGCACAATGAAGTCCAAATTACTTAGCAAGTCATAAAATATACCTACAATATGATGATCTTACCCACCTCTCCGGTGCCTTTTCTGGCTAGTTTTCCATTCTCTGGTCAGAAGCAGAGAAGAACTTACTTCTTAAAAATGTATCATGTTTTAATGCCCCCAGGTCCTTGTTTTCCCAGGCCATTTCCTTTTCTGGAGTACCCTATGCCTTCTTTCAACTTCTTATCTTTCTTTTAGGTCTCATTTAACTTGTGTTAAGTCCTCTAGAAAGCCTTCCTTAAAACCTCCCTAAGTAAAAAAATTCTTCTCTAGTGCTCCTAAAACATTCTACATGTTACTATTGTAAAACTAATTATGCTATATTGTAATTAAACGTTTACTCTGTCTCCCTGATTAGGACATAAATTTACCACGGTATCCTTAGCATTTATTTTTTAAAGCATTAATTGATGTCTCCTCAACATTTATTCATTGGTTTGTTGGCCATTAATCTCCTCCCACACAAATATCATCTAACTTACTTTGTATGTAATTAATTAGCAAGATTCAGTTACTGGATTTTATTAAAGATTCTACATATAGATGACATAGGAAGTTTTTCTGCCCATCTCTACAGGCACACTGGATTTGGTGTATGTTAATTATACAAATACACAAATGAATAAAAGTTTTAGACAAAAAGAATCCCCTGGTTACAGAAAGTAGTGTTAGTACTTAGAGCCAGTTCAAAGTCAAGTGTGTCAACTCTTGTTTCTCCCAATAAATGAGTAACCAGTAGGTACCCATGATGTGTATAAAAAGTCTTATTTAAATCTTATGAACCTTTTTGAGTTTGTGTAGATGTTTTTGTATGTGTTCAGATTTGGAGAGGTAGTACCTGAAATTAAGAGTTCAGAGACCTCAGAAATTCTGAAACACAATTTTAAAATCAAAATCAGAAACTCTTCTGCAGCTAATAAAAACCAAAGTAAATATTCTAAAAATACCTTCCTATAATTCTGTGTAAAACATTAAAACCATCCTCTTAAAAACAGCTAAGCTTTCAAGGATATAAGAGAAATCCTTGACAGTAAAATATTAGGGGAATACAAATATGGAGTGGTAAGCAAACACTGAAGCTAATTCCTGCCCTATGGCCTGCTGGTTTTGGAAGGTCTCCTGGGGAGGAAGGGGAGGGCCCTACCCACCAGAAGGCCAGGACCAAGCTCCACCCAGCAGTGGGCAGGCACTGACTCCACCTGCCAGGAAACCTGCACAAGCCTCTAGTCCAGCCTTATCCACAAAAGGCAGGAAACAGAAATAAAACAATCCCAAAGCTTGTGGAGGGAATTATTCTGGGACTGCCTGGACCCTGGCTCTTGGGTGACAAGAGAGAAGTGTACTGCTGGGATGCATAAAACATCTCCTACAGAGGGCCACTTTTTCAAGGTTGAGAAACGTAACTAACCTAGCTAAAAATACAAATAGAAAGTTAGAAAATGTGAGTTGGCAGAGGGATATCTTCCAGGCCAAGGCACAAGATAAAATCCCTGAAGAAGAAATAAATGATGAGGAGATAGGAAAACTATCTAAGAAAGAGTTTAGAGTGATTCTTCCTTCAATAAGGAAGTTGAAGATGTTCAGAGAACTCAAGAGGAGTATAGATACACAGATGGAAGTTTTTAGCAAAGAGAAAATAAATACCCAGAGTTGAAGAATACAATGACTGAAATGAGTAACAGACTAGAAGAAACCACAAATAGACTAAACGAGGCAGAAGAACAGATCAGTGAGCTAGAAGACAGATTAGTGGAAATCACTACTGCAGAACAGAAAAAATTTAAAAAGAAAATGAAATGAGGATAGTTTAAGAGAATTCTGGGACAACATGAAAGGCACTAATAGTTACATTATATGGATCCCAGAAAGAGAAGAGAGATAGGACCTGAGAAAATATACAAAGAATAGCCAAAAGCTTCCCTAATTTGGGAAGGGAAACAGCCAAGTCCAGAAAGCGCAGAGTTCCACACAGGATCAACCCAAAGAGGAACACATTGAGGCACACAGTAATCAAACTGACAAATATTAAGGATAAGGAGAAAATATTAAAATCAGCAGGAGAAAAGCAACAAATAACATACAAGGGAACTCTCCCATAAGGTTATCAGCTGAATTTCCAGCAGAAACTACAGGCCAGAAAGGAGTGACACAATATATTTTAAGTGATGAAAGGGAAAAATTTACAACTAAGAATACTTTCTGCAGCAAGGCTCTCATTCAGATCTGATGGAGAAATTAAAAGCTTTATAGATAAACAAAAGCTAAAGGAATTCAGCACCACCTAACCAGCTTTAGGACAAATGTTAAAGGAACTTCTCTAGTCATCAAACCACAAGAAAAGAGAACAAAAAGAAAAAAGAAAAAAAAAGGACCTACAAAACAAATTAACAGAACAATTAATAGTTAACAAAATGGCAATACGGGCATGCATATTGATAATTTTCTTAAATGTAAATAGATTAAATGCTCTAACCAAAAGACACAGACTGGCTGAATAGACACAAAAACAAGACCCACATATATACTATCTATAAGAGACCCACTTCAGAGCTAGAGACACATGCATGCTGGAAGTGAGGGATGGAAAACATATTCCATGAAAGTGGGAACCAAAAGAAAGCTGGAGTAGCAATACTTACGTCAGACTAAACAGATCTTAAAGACTGTTACAAGAGACAAAGAAGGACACTACACAATGCTCAAGGGATCAATCCAAGGAGATATAACAATTGAAAATCTATATGCACCTGACATAGGAGCACCTTAATATATAAGTCAATTGTCAACAGACATAAAAGGAGAAATTGACAACACAAAAATAGTGGTGGACTTTAACACCTCACTTAGATCAATGGACAGATCATTCAGACAGAAAATCAGTAAGGAAATATAGGCCCTAAATGATATATCAGACCAGATGGACTTAAATTGATATCTATAGAGCAATGCATCTGAAAGCAACAGCATACAAATTCTCAGGTGTACATGGAACATTTTCCCAAATTGATCACATGCTGACCCACAAAGCAAGTCTCAGTAAATTTAAGAAAACTGAAATTGTACCAAGCATCTTTTCCAACCACAATGCTATGAGGTTAGAAATCAACTATAAGAAAAAACAAAAAAAAAACCTGCTAAAACTGCAAGCACGTGGAGGCTAAACAATATGCTACTAAACAGCCAATAGATCATGGAAGAAATCAAAGAGGAAATCAAAAATGAAAATGAAAACAATGATTCAATACTTCTGGGACACAGCAAAAGCAGTTCTAAGAAGCAAGTTTATAGCGATACAAGCCTACTGCAAGAAACAAGAAAAATCTCAAATAAACAACCTAACCGTACACCTGAAGCAGCTAAAGAAAGAACAAACAAAACCCAAAGTTAGTAGAAGAAAAGAAATCATAAAGATCAGAGCAGAAATAAATGAAACAGAGACTTAAAAAAATAGAAAAAAATCAATGAAACTAAAAGCTGGTTCTTTGAAAAGATAAACAAAATTAATAAACCTATAGTTAGACTCATCAAGAAAAAAAGGGAGAGGGCCCAAATTAATAAAATTGGAGATGATAAAGAAGCCACAACTGCCCCCCCCCCGAGAAATACAAGGCATCGTAAGAGGCAACTAAGAGCAACTATACACCAAAAAAGAAAAAAAAAGACAACCTAGAAGAAATGGACAATTTCTTAGAAAAGTACAGTTTGCCAAGACTGAACCAGGAAGAAATGGAAAATATGAATAGGCCAGTTACCAGTACTGAAATTGAATCAGTAGTTTAAAACTCCTAACAAATAAAAGTCCGGGACCAGATGGCTTCACAGGCAAATTCTACCAAACACTTAGAGAAGAATTAACACCTATCTTTTTGAAACTATTCTAAAATATTGCAGAGGAAGGAATACTTCTGAATTCATCCTATGAAGCCACCATCACCCTGACACTAAAACCAGACAAATATATCACAAAAAAAAGAAAATTATAGACAGTATCATTGATACACATGATGCAAATATCCTCAACAAAATACTAGCAAATTGACTCTAACAATGCATTGAAAGGATTATAAACCATGATCAAGTGGGCTTTATCTCAGGGATACAAGTATTTCTCAATATCTACAAATTAGTCAGTGAGATACACCACATTAACAAATAAAAACCATATGATCATCTCAATAGATGCAGAAAAAAGCTTTTGATAAAATTCAACACCCATGTATGATAAAAACTCTCCAGAAAGTGGGCATGGAGGGAACATACCTCAACATGATAAAGGACATATATGACAAACCCATAGCTAACATTATACTTAATAGAGAAAAGCTGAAAGCATTTCCTCTAAGATCAGGAACAACACAAGGATGCCCACTCTCACCACTTTTATTCATTTTGGAAATCCAAGCCATACCAATCAGAGAAGAAATAAAGGGAATTCAAATAAGAAAAGAAGTAGAACTGTCACTGTACACAGATGACATACTATATTCAGAAAACCCTAAAGAAGTGACCAGAAAACTACTAGAGCTTATCAAGGAATTTGGTGAAGTTGCAGGATACAAAATTAATACATAGAAATCAGTTGCATTTCTATACATTAACAACAAAATATCAGAAAAAGAAATTAAGGAAACAATCTCACATATACCATCACACCAAAAAGAATAAAATAACTAGGAATAAACCTACCCAAGAAGGCAAAGGACCTGTACTCTGAAAACCGTAAGACACTGATGAAAGAAACTGAAGATGACATACAGATGGAAAGATATACTGTGTTCTTGGATTGGAACAATCAATATTGTTAAAATGAACATATTACCCAAGGCAATATACATATTC